TGCTCGAAGGCCGAAACGTGCGTCTAGCACTAGAAATGCCATAACAATCTTCTTGAAATGCTTAAACACTCTATCAGACTATATCATTAATTGAATAAACATCCTTAGTCAACTATGATATTTCTAACAGATTTCAGTGACCCGTGTCATGGATGATCTTCTTCTTCATTCATCGGAGCGCATAACAGCGCATGATAGTTGCAAAAATTTCAACGTCATTTCCTCAGCTTAGATCGTTATCGTGCTGCTTCGAATGATTTTTTTCTGCCTATACCAATATAGATCCTCCTGTTAAGATCCTCTACAGCTAGCATTCACTATTAGCCTAATTAGGTGGACTGCATAAGGACCAGCCAGGCCTTAGTTCCCTTCATTTTTCGAGCAGCTTTGGTATGAGTAAAAACGCGATCTTCATTATATGTCTGAGAGACTGGTGAGCTGGCACAATTTTCAAGTTTATCGATGATCAGTAGAAACTAGTAATTTTGCTATAGCCATTGTTAATCAAATCCTCGCGTTCTTGTTCATGCCGACGAGCAGCTACGCAGAACATTCCGTTTGTTTGTGTAGGACACAGACCATACGTTTGAGATACACAAAGAATAATGCAGAAATACCGCGAACGTACGACAATACAACTATTCGAAAGATTGTGCACAACAAAGGGCCGGTATCCAGAGTTGATCCACCAACACACCTTAGACACTCTCCGGCAGTAAATAGCAAGTACCTCACGGGTCGCCTAGCCTGACTATTTTGAGAATGCAAGTAGATGTGATCAGCCAGTATTGTATGTCTTATGAAGATAAAATCCTTTATAATGCGATAAAAGCGAGAGACAGGTTGCATGCTGAAGGTGTGAGATCGTCAGTAAAAAGAAAGTTTGATACGATCGTATAAGATGATAAAAGTGCGCAGCGATAGAAAAGCTTTCCCCTATTCCAGTTAGTTATATGAACACCTTCCAAATCGAAGTAAACAAGTTATTGAACACGTTCTAAGGAGCTAAAGGGCTTTGAAAATTAGTAAAGCCTTCGCACCAATATTGAGAACTGTGCACGAAACCTTTGTCATTGCACTAGAATTGTATTAGCTGTGATTTTATGGAAGAAAAGACAAATAGAAGCTCAGAGAATGGTGATAAACACCAAATAGCGTCATTGTGATATAGCTGTCGTCGTCGTCCAAGCTACGTCTCACCCAGTTTCAGTAAGTCGAACACAGTACGGCAGATCACCGAGGCGTCCGCTTCGCAACTGAAGCTCATAAATGAGATTAAAGACCTTCCGGTATAAGATTTGATTCTACTATGTCTATGTGGCTGAATTCAATTCAGTATTTACTTTTTTTCTTAATTCCAGCCGGTCCTGTTCTAACTGAAAACGCACACATATACAGACACACGCAAATGTGAATGCATGCTGAATAGTGATACACACAAACGAATGCATACATGTGTGCGTTTATCAAAACGTACATAAGCACCTACATACCACATTCACAAGTACCACAACCGATGCATCTATTATGCTTGTAAAAATTTTTAGATTTGTAACTGCATAAAAATTCACACAGGTGGCGACAATTACCCTTTAGGGCGAAGAACGCACTAGGCGAAAAGGTTCTCTAGCATGGGGCAATATACACAGTAGGAACTTCCCATGTCTTCTGATGTCTTATTACATGTACGAGGAGTCTGGTCGACGGCAGTCTATCCACACGACGATTTGTGATCAATATGCGAATTTGTAGTAGGTTGAGGGCTCATAGTGGACGTTTATTGTGAAGGAGGGCGGGGGCGGAAAGAAGTCTGAACATATGAAGGGGGGAGGAGAGCTAGGTGGTATTTAGGTTTCGATTGTAGGCGTCACTTCAAATGGAATGGGGGAGGAGATTCAAAAGAGTCGCGTGCGTCTGTTGCGGGACACATAGAGAGGAAGAAAGGGGGAGGGGGGAAAGAGAAGAATGAATTGTTGGGATAGTGCAGCCTATGGGGGGAAGAAAACTCTGGGAGGTAAGATGACTCACACAAAGTAGAAGAGGAGAGAGGAAGGTAAGGAAAAGGAGACATACTCAAACATGCTGGAAGAAAAAGGGAGCGTGGAAGGAATGAGGGAGCGTGGTCAAAGAGACATCGTTCGGAAGCGCTCAGGTGTTCAAGAATGGGGAGTGAACAGTACGTACTGGTGTTTGCTCACACAAGGTACTCCTGGGTGAAAAATAAGTTGTGTGGAGACATAGTTTCATCATCTAGTGAAATGTGAAAACGAGGGAATAATTAGTGTGCGTAAAATTTCTGCAGCGGTCTAGTGTACAGCGTGGGAAGGTTGAGGGGCCTGGGAGATGTCGATAAAAAAAAAGCCGAATTATGCAAGGGATATAACATATTTTAAGCTGTTGGGTCTAGTGTATACAGACGCCTGTTTCGTCCTATTGGGACTCATCCATATCACCTTCCCTCGATTTAGCCGATCCGCTGAGGTTGAATAATACTCTATAAAGGAATAGACGCCGAGTAAAAATTCACTCAAGGTTAAATGATGTAGTTACCTGACATTGTGGTGACCGGAAGTCGACTCAGGGAATCGGCTTAACCAAGAGACGGTGGTACTGATGAGTCCCAATAGGACGAAACAGACGCCTGTATACCACTAGACGTAGCAGCTCAAAACATGTTATATCCTTATCAGATTATATCACTTTGAGCAAATCTGTAGAAAAGCGGCCCATAAAAGAGGCCTAATTTTGTAGTCCATCGTTGTGATCTATAATTATTTTAGCTACCAGTTTGTATCACTCATTGCCCGCGGTTGAAAGGTGTCTTGTTCATCTCAAGATAATTTTAGAATACTTGCCAAAATTGACTGTCATTTATCAAGTAGTTTCTCTATTATAAAACCGAGTCAGTCTCTATTTCACTGCTTAACGTTTCGCGCAATTCATCTTCTAGAAGGCCGTCTTTTTCTTGCGCTTCTGTTTTTGACGGGTTATCTAGCTTTTGAGGCAAGTCAACTATTGCAAAAAAGCAAAGCTATTCCGAACTCTTTGTATACATTTTTCTTGGAGAACATTGTCAGTACAGTCTATCAGCGCTTTAGCATCTCCCGTCGTTGGAACATCATTTTACGATGATTACTAAGCCATTGCTTCCCATCAAGAGCTCTCATATTTGTCCACCAAATCAATTCTCAGAGAATAATCTTCTTTCATTTCAGAAAAAACGAGTGCACTGGAGCGAACTCCGATTTCCTGTTGGGAAATCAGAAACATCCGTCGCGACAGCAGTTGGTATGTTGAAGTGGACGGCGTCGTAATGGAGAACTTCACAAAGTTGCTTCAAGATTTTATTTCGAGGAGTAATGTAAGTGGATAAGGAATTCTGTCGAGTGTCAATTGAGATCAATGATAATGGCGCGAAGCAGTCTTTTCCAGGGCTTCATTACTGTGGAATAAAGTTATGATCATTTTAGTCGATTTCTTGAGGCAATCTTAAGGGTATCGCCACAAGTCTTCTAGCTGCATTCAAAAAGCATTCGACTCTATCTTCATTGTAAAGCGTCAAATAATAGTCGTAATCATTACTCATCGAAAAGAGATGTTAGTCATGTACGAGCATGCTTCGATAAAGACACGAACTCTATCAAACCTTCATGGTGACACAATTCACATGAATAACTCTCCTCAGCCAGTTCTGTAGCGCCTAACTTACTCTTAGCTCATAGCTTCGAAGGACTTTTTGAGAGACATTTCCATGAATTTCACAAATGAGTATCTAACAATGAGTATATTCGTAACATCATGCCATCGCTAGAAGCGGTTCCATGAAAAAAGAATTCTGAGTCCTTAATAATTGGCTCAGTGTGCTGAGAATCCGATTAGGCGACTTTCAAGCTTTCCAATTCAGAATGATCGCAATCTCGTGTTTGAAAGGGAAATGAAGTTTATCGATGTGTCGCATGAGTGTAGAGGTGCGGTAAAGGAGGAGTTGAAAAGGTGTGTTCAAGGAATGGAGCAAACGTTTTGAATCGGGTGCAATAGTTTTGTTGACTTTATAGACTCGGATTCGAGCCGAGTCTCGGTGATGACCAAACAACGAAAAAATTGTCAAGAATGAGGAGTTTTCCACAGCTGCTCGGGTTTGAAACCACAACAGGTGAGAATAGAGCTGTTTAAATTCTCCTTCAACATAAATCGCTTACAACATAACACCATTCCATCCTCATGTCAAAAAAATAATTAAGATTTCATTACGCGGTTGTTTTAGGTGCCACCACCAGTAGTGGAGCGGCTGGATATTGTACAGTGAAGACAGAACATGGGTAAGTACTATGCCACTTTTTTGTTTAAAAACAATAGAGTGCGTTATTTTTCATCGAAGGAACCGACAAAAAAGTGAGTAGGCAAAAGCAGAGTAAGTAACATTATCAAAGACAGCGTCATAGAAGACGTGTGGTAAGACGTTGAAACGAACTGCCAGATTACAAACCCTTTCACACCGTACTTGGTCTCACTTGACCGGCACCCAGGACGAAGTCCAATTTTCGGTCACTGCGGGTCTGCTGGGTTACTGAGAACAAACAATATTTTGAGGATGAATCAGAATTCATTTTGATCCATAGCATTGACTGCTTTAAAAACTCGCTATAAAGATTCAATATAATTATCAAGAATGTTTAAAGCGCTAGCGAGGTTGGTACGCCAGAGCCATAAATGCGTGTTTCGGAGGTCTCGAGCTCCTCGTCAGTGGCCCACGCAGTCGATTACTGAAAGTGGTGATAGCATAATGTCATTGTACGTCCAGATGTCACCACATACGCCTCCCGTGGCTACTGACGAGGAGGACGAGACCTCCGAAATACGCGTGTATGGCTGTGGCGTACCAACCTCGCTAATGCTTTGAACATACTTAAAATTATATAGATTCATTTTATCTGACCGCCTCGAGCGGTGGTATGGTGTTACAATATACCCAATGATGTAGAGTGGTGTGTAAGAACTTTTGCCTCAGCTGAGATTCAAACCCAAAATTCACTCTATCCGAGGGGCGCGTGCTGAATCATTGCACTACCGACGCCCTTTTGGACACCACTCTTGCTGACAGTTAACGCTTTGAACTATAGAAAAAGTAATGTCAAAACGGGCGTCGGTAGGGCAACGGTTCAGCACGTTTCCCCAGATAATGTGAAATGTAAGTTTGAAGCTCACCTAGCGCAAAAGTTCATGCACACCACTCTACACCATTGGTAAACAATATTTTCTCGGCAAGTAAAAGAGTTGATGGGCTACGAACTCTATGAGTATAAAGGTTCTTCTTCAGCTTTCATTTTAAACTTCCGATTTCTAAGCAAAAACCATAGTTTATTATAAAAATTAGATTTGATGAAATGGTTGATTAGCACTCAAATTTCTGATCACTAAGCTCTTCCAAGAAACAGTTTCTTTTGCATATTTCTAGAGCAAAATGAAGTTCTCCCGACTGGAGCCCAACTCGAAATCTTCCTTCTATAAGCTAGCGAATGACTGAAAAAGGTCTAGCAAAGAAGCTTTGTGCGATGAATGCGACACTGAAAAAGAAAAGAAAATTGAAAGCAGTAGGGTGCGACTCGATCTGAACGCTAGATTTCATAAGAAATTATTCCGCATCAGCGCGAAAGGGTTGATTTCTACTATTTGCATTTTTGACTCATACTGAAAAGACAGATGAGGTTCCTCTCAGTAGGACTTTCCATTTAATTCACTACAGTTGCTAGCATAGATATTTTGATTTGCTTCTCTTTCCAACTACCCGATGTCTTGGAAAAGCACCATAAACAAGAGTTATTAGAGCAATTCTAAGAATTTTTCCTACAGGTATTTGTTACACATATACCTTTACTTTCGACTGTTATATAGAACTAGATTAAAGCAATAGCATTCTGATAACATTTTTTTAAACCCTAATATGATGTCTGTTATGACACTTATACACTGCTAGCCAAGTGTTTCGCCAGTGTAGGCTCACCAAAAGCACAGTACCTTTCGGTTCAGCCAATTCCCTTCTGATCGGGTGATTTGATCGCTTGATATGCGATAACTTAAATAAGTCGGCGTCGATTTTTTTATGGGTAGGGATATATTTCTCTGCAAGGGATTGGCTGAATCGAAAGGCACCGCGCTTTTGATGCGCCTGTGTTGGCGAAACACATGTCCTAGCACTGTATAAGTGCCATACTGGACCTCATAAAAAGCTCAACATTGTTATCAGATTGTTAAGCATATAGTTTTTGCGCTTTAAACAATGCTCCGCATTAGCGTACAGGCAAGAAGCTCTTACATAAATCCGTTGAAGTCCCTGTCTTTGGTAGCACTCGGAAAGCAGTAGAATAAGGTTATGTCTTCTGCAACTAAACGCATCAACTATATGATCTTATTGAACTCCACTTCGACTGTTTCCTTCTTATTCGGTCAAGTTTATCACATCTAGCAATTATGGTTGGGCATTACGTGTTAAACCTCTATCGTATGTAGGATTGAGTATTCCACCGTGGTTCCTCGAATGCATAAAGCCTATGACACAATATTTAGTTTTTAGTTGAGATAAAATCTACGACGAAACTAACAGAAGAAGATATTTCAGGTCGACCGCAAGAAGACGTAACCCTCTCCGTTTTCGAACACATCATATACTGCACAACTTAGATAAAGAATTTTTCTTCCATATTCTCTGGTTTTCCTAATATTGTACGTATAATGATGAGAAGACTTTATCATACCCGGATGAACAAATATTCATATATATATGTATATCAAATAGCAGTTCATACTTCCACTAATAGTTAAACTCCACATTTGTGGCCGAAGTTTACCAAGCATATAGCGTCGACAGAATTGATTAGGTACTCAAATGAACGAGGCGAAACCAAGCAAATGAAGTAGTTCGGTTGCATTCAAAGCAATCTCGTTGTTGCATATCCTTGTTTTATAGCTTTTAATCGCGATTTCAATTCTGTCAATTTTAAATCATGATAATTAGGCTTAAGAACATCTTTATCATTCGGAATAAGAGCTATTACAATTAACGCATTTTTGCTGACGAAAAATCACTGTTGAAGCACAAAAATCGGTGTTACGCGATTTGACGAATTCTTGGAAAGCTTTTCTGCAATTTATTGATTGTGAAGGCGTTTTCCCTACAAGTAGTTATCGGGATGCCTGAAGAATTGGTATTCGGTGGGCGCAAGGTCCAGCGAATATGAGGAATGCGGCAAAAATATGTAGTAAAATCTATTGGATTTCTTAAGTGTTTGTTGTGCGACATATAGTTGTCTATAAAAACCGCCATCACCTTTGCAGCAATCAATTTCGCCTTCCAAATTCATTTTAATTGGTATACGATAGTAAACTGATCAACGCTGCGTATTTTGTACCACCTCGCCTAGACTTAAGAGTATCAGCCTCGATAATTGCGTCAATGGTAAAAGTAATCTTTGTTTATGCGTTGCCAAGATGCACCTGCTCACGAAATTTCTTGAACCATCGCTGCACTGCGTGCATATTAGCAGTTCCCGGGCAAAATGCGCCGTTGAGGTTGCGAGTCGTCTCTGCTGCTTTGCGATCCATTTTGATCACAGTTCGCAACCGCTAGAACTTTTGCACCAATCAACATCCCCTCAAATTGAAATAAATATAAAATGAAAACGAAGTGAAACGTTATTTACAATAAACGTAAAGCAAGAAATGCCTATCAGAATAATATATAATATAGCCATATTTATTTAAGGATTTATTTCAGTATCAAACGGCAAACTGAAGCAACAGACCCTAACACAATTCGCTGTTCATTTCTTCTTTTTCTGATCATCGCCCATGGTTTTGGTTGAACGCTGATCGCAAGAAGAACGCAGCGCATGGCGCAAATTTCACACCATCACCTATAAAACATCTGAAGCTGCAATTACAGCTAATTAATTCATCTTGTGAACAGCCCGCCGGACGTGTAGGTGGTCACCTCGGAGAGGAGTGTATTCTCGCGTAGTCCACTCTACAGTTCTTTTCATCCATCTGTCGTCCATACTTAGTGTATAGGTGGCCATCTAGCGTTCGTTATCAATGTAAATTCTTCTTCATCACAAAGATGGTATGATCAGGATTGTGCAAGCCGGTTAACGTTGTGAGTGCCGACTAAAGTCAGAAGACACTGTTCAAGCATCTGTGATTTGTTCGAAGTAATTTTGACGTGGTCGTAGCATCAACCCACGTCTTCGCTGCATGGCAGAGCGCTGGTAGGATTCTTGAGTCAAAAAATTTAGCATGCAGTTTGAGGTCCGCTACCTGGCCGCTTGCTATTCTGAGAGGCTACAATGCGTCCCATACTGGTCTCCTTCTTCTAGCTAATACCTTCTTCGCGTTCTTCTACATGTTCAGTGGCCGCACAAAGTACACATAAGAGATGGTCTCTCTAATAGGAAAACCATTTAATTCGATTTATTCGCCACTGCACCATTTGCTTTTAATAAACTAGATGTTCATGCGATTTATACGTAATCCGATCTTCTTTCCCGCTTCGTTCAGTTCCTTAAACATCGTCTATAGTACATTAATACTTTTCAAGAATGTGGCGATTGTCATCCGCGAATCAAAGGTTTGGTAGGAAATTTACATTTATATGTATGCTTTTCTCCTCTCAGTCGAGCGAATCATTCTCCACTGCAGTGTAGTGGTGAACAATTTTGGCGATAACATATCGCGTTGTCGATCCCTTGTCTAATGGGCATGGTAAGGAGTCGATGAAAAGCCGTATTTTCGCTGTTGCAATTCCGATGATAGCCTCATACAGTTCTTATGTATAACGGATCCTCTTCGTGGTCGACGAGCGCTGATAGAAGTGAATTCGTTTCGAGGATAGCGAACGCTTACTCATAATCGACAAAAAGTCAAGGTCATGGGCAGCTAGTAATGTCGACAGACTTCTATGACATTTGACACCGTTCGAGTGTAGTCCATATAGTAGAATCCTTGTCGAAATTCTTCTTGGTAAGATTTTTGTGCATCATTCGAGGATCTGGATATGCGCAAAGGTATAATATTTTACTCAAAGAGCTTGCAAAGGTACACTCAACAAGTCCTCCGGTCACTTCTTCTGCAGAGGTTGACTGTGCGCCGTGTCCAACACCGATCTGGGATTTTTTTCATTTGAAGATAAGATCGACATGTGTGCTGGAAAAGATACATATAACATAAAGTCTCCAGCTCTCAGAAAGTCGACACTGATGCTATCGGATCCCACGGCTGTGCTTTTCTTCATGCTTTCTATCACAACTTGAATTTGATAAGGTAGATACCTGAACGTTTTTTTAGAGGAAATCCCAGTGCCCCTGATGTAGATGGCGGAGCGGAATAGTTTATTGTAGAATTTTTCGGTATCGATTCTAGATCACTGAGAGAAATCTTAGTGATCCCACCTTCGTTTATCACGGCTGACAGCTAAACACTAGGTGTGCACAACATCCGATGGCGCTTCTTTAGAATAGTTTGTCTCTGTGCTGCTTTTAACATTTTCTTCTGCTTGTAGTGATGTGAGTCCTCTTATGAAGCTCTTATGCAGCTGACATTTGGTATCACCAGTATCAGAAATGTTCCTTAAAAATCGAGTTTCAGCTTTCCTCTCTTTTCGACTAACTCATTCATGGTCTGTATAGTACGTCTAGACTTTGAAGAAGGCGAACAATCCAAAACATCGGCTAACGCTTTGAAGATGACACACCAACCTTGCATAGGCTTCAGAAAAGTAACAGTTGTATGATGCTTCCATTTTTCATGCAGAGCTTTAACAAAACTTTGCCTTCCGATTACGTACGAATTATATCTGAGGCAGTTATCAAACCTACAAACGAAGGAAGTCTGATAATTGTTGCAACGGTATATGAAAGGAAACAAAGCAAATGCAAGGAATACTGAGATCCGTATTGGATGACATATATGATGTCGAGTAATGTGATAAAAATAAAAAATACAACGTCTAGATCTACAGAGACCAATGACACTGGAGAACGGAGAAGAAACTTCACGTATCACATTTATTTCATTCATTCGACT